GGCCAACGTTATGGTAAAGATGCACGTTTTACATTTTGAATATTCGTTTGGAGGCATAACCTTATATGATTTTGGATGATTTTGCTCATTCCTGGTGGAGTGAACCTGCTTAGGCTTTGTATATCAGACTTTTTTTAGTCATGCTGGGAACTGTTCAAGTATTTTTATGGGTAAGCGCCGACTTCTGGGACCAGTCTGGCTTGTTCTACAAGTAGACGCGTTGTGGCACATAACGGTGGTCTGTGCAGGCGTAGCATGCGGTAGGTCAAGATGACTATTCAAACTGTCATTGCTCCTGGAGACCTTAGAACACAACTTTGGGACGCCAGCTCACTGGACAGGGCTCCCTAAAGGATAACCTTTAAAATTAGGCTCTTTCTGCCCTCAGCATGAATATCTGTTATCGCGAAAATATATTCTGCATCTCATTTAATGTGTCCTCAAAGTTATCCGACAAACACATCTTTCTAGCCTTTTCAGTCGAAAAATAAATTCAATTGCGTACATGACGACAAGGGTTTTTCTTCTTCAACACAATGAAAGGAGAATTAATTCTAGGTCTGCGATTACCAGGACATTTGGAGTATAGCCACATGGTTAACCTGCTTACGTAAATTGCATTTCTTTAGTCCGAACAAGTACTCGGAAGGGTTTTTTCAGGTAAACAGAGTAAACACCGTCCCGCAGATACCATGTAATCGAGGACTATGGTACTTGCTAGAAAAACGAATAACGTAACCTTGCAAACAAATTGACGGAATCGCAATGGAGAGTCCATTTGGCTCAACCTTCGCCAACGTTTTATGGGTCATCTAGAAGAAAAGGTACCATAAAAATGTAGTATGACAACACTATGTAGATGATAAGTGGATTAAATTCAAAAAAGAAACGAAACAATGCAACAATTGGCCCTTCCTAGAAGTCCACATGTTTGGAGAGGAGGATGGTTCAACAGGACGCTGGGGTTTCCACATAAGTACCTGAAGAGGACAATAATACATTTTACCAGCGTTGTGCCAATACCATGGTACATACTGGTACATACTCTTTTCCAAAGAGTGCTCTAGTGAGACTTTACCTACAGCAATTACCCGCATCAAAGAAGCCCTGCATAGCCGTGGCTTTCCT